AGGTAATGTAGTAACGTTTTAAAAAATTCCTAAACTATGAAACGTTCTTCGTAACGTTGCCCTAATCGTGCAAATAATATTAAAACTACTTAAATTTTAAAGGATTGGTCAATGAAAGCTATCTGCAGTTATTTTTAAATAAATGATTTTTCTCTTTTTACAACTAGTAATTCTATTTGTTTTTCTATATGGCACAATATACAGCATCACAAATCCAAACCTCTTATGTAAAACCATGTGTAAAACCACATAGAATGCTATATAGCTTTTCTGAAGTAATTACACATAAAATTCTAAGATCTATGTTTTAGGTAGGTAGCCTAGTTAGAATTTCCAAATAAAAATGTGTGTAAACGAGACGAACGTAAATGGTGCAACAATTTAAAAGTATAAAACTAGAAAAATATAACCGAAAGTCTATAAAACAAGACGGAAAAAGTACGTGCAAAAAATGTATGTAAACAAAATATAATATATAAGCGTTTATAAAATTTTGATATTAATAATAAAATAATAGTAATTTGCTTAAAAATTAAAAAAATTAAAAAAAAATTTTTTCTTACAAAAACCTTCTTAAAGCTTTGTGAGTTCTATGCGTCCCGTGATCAACTATTTTTTTTTACTAGTGATTTTATAGCACACAAAGCAACTAGAACAAGCCTTTAATAATAAGAAAATATAGGTTAGCACTGGCCTCTAAACTTAAAAATCTCATGAAGTTAAATCTCTCTATTTCTTTCTCGTAGAATTATCTTGACTAACTTAAATGGTGTAGTATACCCTATAAATTGATTTTTTTTGTGCAAACATTCCTCAAAATCATTTCAAAAAACTTATTTTACTTGTACACAACTCGTTATCATAGTATGAAAAATTTAGTGCGGAAATATAAAACTTTAATCGTATAACCAACTAAAAATGGTCATTTTTCAATAAGACAACACGATTTTAACAAATATTGGAGCTAACAAAAAGGAATAATCAATAAGGAGTTAGTAGGAATAAAAAGACATGAAAAAACCAGAGTGTGGGACTTTAAGTCCATAGGTAATAACGAAGTACTTGCTTGTATGTAAAAATCTCATAAATAGTGTAAAATACCAGGTTCGTAAATACACGTGAGTTGTTTTTTTTTAATGGGTTAACGTGACAGCTCGTAGCCTAATTCACCGGACCAGCCCACTCATCACCTATGTGTGGGGGTGTACTGCTACATTTATTTTCCAATCCTTTTACTAATGTTATACCTAATCTATGGGCATAGTGCGAGTTACCCCGGTAAAACACCTTGCCAGTTAAGCTGACACTCTCTGCACCAATAGATGCCTGGTGCATTGGATCCACTTACCTCTACCTAAGGCCCTAACACTGTTTCGCACTTATCCAGGCCCAAAAATCTGTGGGGCAAAGAAAAAACCCTTAAAGCACTCTGCAGGAAACTTCCACGGAAAAACTCACCCCGAAGCTGGAGTTATTATTTGTAATAATTTTAAAAAGATGCTGTAATTTTCACAAACTTTCCACCTTGGTTTGAAAGAAAACTATTAAGAATACTAATAATTGAGGTTATGTGTTCACATTACTCACAAACTCTCTTTTTGTGTGTTACCATGTTTTCTTTTCCTTTGAAAAACCTGTAAAACTTGATATTTTTCCATATCTCGCTTTCTTCAAAAGAAATGACATATTTTTAATATTTGAAGGTTATAAGCACACATGACCGTGGAAAATCATTTCTGCATTATTTTTATCCTGTACTAAACGTAATACAATTTTTCTTATAGTTTTCTTTTTATTTTGGAAAGGTACATCGAAAACATTAAAATTAAAGGTAAAGTTTTTTTTATATTTTGATGCCTCTGTTTTTATGCGTCACAATATTTATGTTCCCTTTAGAAAACCCATAAAACTTGTTTTTTTGCTCTATCTTGTTCCCTCTTAAAGATATGGCGTATTATGTAGAATTTTAAGGTTATACTATGCGAAAAATATCCATCAAATCAATACTGGCTATCTGAATCGATTTGCCATACATGCAAAAATTAATTGTTAATGTACTTTATTAAAATAGTGATCTTAACTAGTGTATAAAATAAACTTATTATTCATGTCTTAAATTTCAATATTTAAACTGGCCGACTATTTTTTCACAATTACTCTCTACAATTTGGATTTTTTTAGCCAGCAATGACAAGAGTACACTCTTTTTTCTCACACTTTCTAGCTGATAGGTCCCTTTGCTGGCTAGCTTTCTCTCTCTCTCTGTCTATCTCTGTATTGCCACTACTGCTCTGTCTTCCGCCTCCTTACAAGAGCACGCTTTTTTCCTACGCTTTCTTTCTGATAGATCCTTTCACTGACTGGCTCTCTCTCTGTGTCAACGTTACTGCTCTATCTTGCCCCTCCCTACAAGTGCATGCATTTTTCTTACAATTTCTGGCTAATGGGTACGTTCGCTGGCTAATTTTTTCTCTCTGTGTTGACACTAGTGCGCTTCCTTCCCCCTTTCTACAAGTACATGCTTTTTGCTAACGCTTTTTAGCTAATAGGTCTCTGCAATGGCTAACTGGCTCTCTCTTCCTCTCTCTCTCTCTGTTGCCACTGTAGCCCTTAAAGTACACGATTTTTTCTTACGCTGTCTAGCTTATATGTCCCCATTTCAAACCATCCTCATACACAAAAAGTTTATATCACGTCATAATTCGGAATAAAAAACTTTATTCTTAAAATAATAAATTTAAATCTCTAAAAAAAGACTGTAACAACAATAGTGTAATAATGATAAGTAACAATAATTATAATGAAAATAATAATGATAATGATAATGTTGATAAAAAAGATAATGATAATGATAATAATAATGATGACAATAATAATAACGATTATAAAAATGATGATAGTGAGAGAGATGATGAAAATAAGCATGATGATTTTAATGATGATGATAATAAAGATGACAATAATGATGATAATGGAGATAAACATGATAGTGATGATGATAACGACAATGATGATGATGATGGTGATAATGATAATGAGAATGATATCGATGATGATTTTAATAATGATACTGATAATTATAGTGATGATTATAACAATGATAACGATTATGATGATAAAAATAATGATGGTAATGAAAAGCGTAATGAGGATAATGATAATGATGACGATAATAATGATAATGATGATTCTGATCATGATGATTATTGTAAAAACAGTAATAACAACTATAGTACTGATCACAATAAAAATAATAAAGACAGTTATAACAATGCTGCCAACCCAAGAAACTGCGGTGCAAAAGTTACTTGAATGCGCAGTACAAAGGCTGGTTCTATTCTAGTAAAGCTTTCCAAAAGCATTAAAGACAAGAAGAAGTTGACGCAAAGTGTCCCACTGTTTATCAGAGTCGCAGAAAAGGTATAATCAGGGAAACGTAGAGTTTCTATAGAGGTTATGGACTGAGAGGCAGTCGCTGATAAAGAGAAAGTTATAATAGCTATCCAAGAGGATGCTAAGACCGGAGAAGACCCAGGCAAAATCTTAGTGGCTATGCTGCCACCAAATCTATGGCAGAAGAGAATACTCCTGGCCGGAATAGACGAGGCTAGTGCTTTATCCCTTTTGAGAAAAGGGACGATAGCAGTAGGAAGGATCAGATGCCGACTAAGGCGCAGGATCATCGTCCAGCGATGCTACAGGTGCCTGAGATATGGGCACACAAGATACAACTGTAAAGGCCCAGACCAATCAGGACTCTGCTGAGAATGTAGGAAGGACAATTACAAAGCTAAGCACTGCAAGGCCGAACCAAGATATTTCTTATGCAGTGGATCTGCGCATGAGGGAGAAAGTACCAATCATGTGCCTGGTTCTGGAGATTGCAGGGACCTTAGACAGGCCTTGAACAGAAAAAAACAAGCCTGACACAATGCCCAGAGTTCTCCAAGAAAACATTAATGGGGCAATTGACACAAATGATCCTCTGCCACAAATATTATGTGAAAGAAGGATAGACGTAACCTACATGAGCAAGCAGTACAGGATCTTTAAGTCTTCTAAGTGGCTCAACAACGCAGCAAATATGTCGACCATTTTAGTTCCTGCACCAGACAAAATCAGCCAAGATGCAAACGGATCGGAAAGACATTTTGTCTGATTGAAAGGTTGAGACATTACGTATGTCAGCTGCTATTTTTCACCAAACACTAGTATCGAGGAGTATAGAAGAAGAATAAATTACCTTAAAGATACCATCAGGGATGGCATGAAGGGCGACGTTATATTCGGTAGGGACTTGAATGCAAAAGTAGTAGAATGAAGAATGCCTACAACAAATTTTAAGGGCCAGGCAGTCCTAGATATGGCAGCAAAGCCAAGACTTGTCGTTGTAAACGAAGGAAGGACCGTGACCTTCCGAAGGCCGGGATTTGGCGAATCAATACCAGATATTATACGAGCGTTGGAGAGCCTTTCGCCGAGAGTAAAGAAAAAAAGGTAATCGAGGAAAAAATGGCAGCAATCACCAATATATCGTCTTTAAAATCACCGATACAATAGACAGAAGAGGCATAGCACGCAAAACAGGATAAAATCTTAAAAAGTTTGACACAGAATGACTAGCAAAAGAAGTCAAAAATGGCATTGCTTCTAGTCAAAGCGATGAACGAAGCCTGAACACAGTAAAAGAAGAACGATAGCAAACCAAGGCAACCATGCAACTCCTAAAAATCGCATGCGAGGCTTCTATGCCCAGAAAAAAGAAAGAACGGCAAACGCTTAACTTACTAGAGAAAAAAGGGAATTGCAGAATAGAGGCGCCAATATCTTAAACACTGACGTCGCTACTAAATAGCCAGAAACAGGCCGGATAAAGGTACTTAGATTACCAGCTTACAATAAAGACGATGTGAGCTGCTATTAAGAACAGCAAAAAGCAGTGCTGGCAGACTCTGTGCCAAGAAGTTAATAACGACCCCTGGGGCAGAGCATAACAGATAATGATAGGAAAACTGGAAAGACTTACACCAACTGCAAACAAAGACGCAGATACCATGAGGCATATCTTAGATACGCTATTTCCGACGCATCCAGAACTCAAGGATCAAGCAGACTTAGAGCTCATAGAAGATGTACCTTTATTCATTTAGAAGGAACTAGAGCTAGCAGCTGGATCGCTTAAAAATGGAAAAGATCCTAGACCAGATGGTATACCAAAAGAAGTCATTAAGACAGTAGTGGCAAAACATCCATAGCTGTTCTTAAACCTATACAATGCATGTTTGCCGGAGAAGTTGTTTTCAACCCCCTAAAAAAACGCAGGGCGGGTACTGGTTGATAAAGGCAAGGGGGAGCCTAACTTTCTGTCATCTTCAGGCCGTTATGCATACTGGATACGCCTGAAACGTTATACAAGAAGCTGCTTAAGGTCTGTCTTCTACAGGCCATACAAAACGCAAGAGACTTATCCGACAGGCAGTATGGATTCAAAAAAGGAAGGTCTACCATAGGAGCAGTAGAAAAAGTAGCAAAAACAGTTTAGAGCATTCAAGACATATGCCATGAAACGAGACCTCTTGTTATTATGGCCACTATGGATGTAAAGAACGCTTTTAACTTAGCAAGATAAAAGAACATGCTTTACGCTATGAAATACACATTTAGAACACCAGACTATCTCTTGAGAGTGTTGAGATATTATATCAAGGACCAGTTTTATACCTATACTACAACAATAGGTAAAACAAAAAAGAAAATAACTGCAGGGCCATTTCATGGATCCATACTTCGACCTGATCTCTGAAACGTGTTATACGACGGACTACTCTACCAGGAAATACGAGAGGACACATTCTTAGAAGAATACACGGACGATGCTGCTGTAGTTATCGTCAAACGCACGATGTAACTTGTCTAGATACGACTTAACCAGGTTATGTGGAGAGTGGCTCCATGGTTGGAGAACCACGAACTCGAAGTTGCAGCAAGAAAGACGAAGATGGTACTATTGACGAGAAAAGAGATAGATACCATCATCCCCCTCAAGGTACAAGAAGAAGTAGTAATGATAAAGAATGCCGTGAAATACCTAAGGGTGACGCTGGATAGAAAGCTCACGTTTTTGAGCCACCTTAGGCAAGAAGCAAAAAAAGCAGTGGCAAGGGTAGCAGCATCAAGCCAAATGTTGCCGAACGTTAGAGGTCCAAAGCCTGTGAAACGCAGGCTCCTGATGTCTACGGCCTAGTCTATTGATCTGTATGGGGCTAAGATATGGGGACATGAGATAAACGTTGAAAAGAACAGAATACAAACTGGCCAAGTTCAAAGAATAGGAGCCTTGAGGATAGCCTGCGGCTATCGATCAGTCTCAGAGTCTGCGGTAATGGTGATAGCGGGCGTAATCTCCATTGACCTCCTTGCGAGGGAAGGACGATTGAAGCACCTTACGAAGCAGGACCTAGGGAGAATGGTGGCCACTAAAAATGCCCGGGAAATTACCTGGGAACGCTGGCAACATAGATGGCAAGAGAAAACTACAGGAAAATGGACGGCACGCCTGATAAAAGATGTCAAGGAATTATCAGGGCAGAAACACGGAGAAGTAGATGACTACCTAATCTAATTCCTCTCAAATCACAGGTATTTTCGCTCGTATCTCAACAAGATGCAGAAAACACAGACAGCTGCTTGCAAGTACTGCAGCTAAGACGAAGATCACGCAAAACATTCGTTTGTTGACTGCACGAAGTGGCAATCCAAACGAAATGTGCTGCAGGAAAAGATCGAAACTGTCAATTCCGACAACGTCATAGATAAAATGTTACTCAACGATAAAAAGGGGACTGCAGTAGCCCAATACATACATATTGTTCTCCGGGTGAAAAAGGACGACGGTTTTCTGGATGACTAAGCAGAGGTGGTGCAAGCAGGGATCCGGTGCCATCGAGGGAGCTTGGGGTTGTGTTATTGCTGCAGCCCCCGGGGGGCTCAGAAGTGTAATTGTGGTAGGGCCTTGGAGGTGGAGCCTCTGGGGCATGGCCGTGGGACGATTGGTGTGCAGAATGGGAGCCTGCGTGGGTGCTTAAGCGCGTGCAGACTCCCTTAAACCACTTCGCTTTATGACCTTTCTACCGATGAGTGGCTGCGGCCTGGTGGCGTATGCTTTTAGATGCTTTGCATCTGCTTTTTTTGCTTCAAGGGTATGGTCGCGGTGTAGTCAGTGTTCGGTATAAAAGCTTGCATGGGTCTTTGAATGTGGGCTGGCTCCGGAAAAATACTCCGCTATATCACCGTCCTACTGTTGAGCAGCTGTACCTCGGTGGCCTGGGTCTGTGCCTCTCAGGCTCTGCAGTGGGAGCGCTCCTTGCGCCTTTGTTGGGGGGAGCCGGGTTTGAGCTTACAGTGTAGAGCATCTGCATATTATTTCCCCATCCCGTCAAGTTAACAGAGGAAAGAACCTCAGATGCATGACGAAAACTAGAAAATATCCGAGAGGACGCAAAAGTTACAAGATAAAATGGTAACAAAACACTCAAAAAAGCCTGAACCCGGGGCTAAGCCTTCGAGGCCCCAGCTTTAACTGTAAATGAGAGAGCAGATTCCGAGCCAAGTGTCCCAGAAAAAAGGCCTTACCAGTTTAGCGGGTATGGTCATAACAAGTCCCACAGAAGGAAGGGTTTGTACACCCTTTTATCGTATATTAAATAATAACAACAATTAAATTATAAAAAAAAATGATGACAAGAATAAGAATGACGATTATAATGACTAATATTTTGACGACCTTAATAATAATTATGACGTTACAATGACAGAGACAAAGACAATTATGATGACTGGTAATAGTAATGTTGATAATAATGACGATATCAATAAAAAAATGACAAAAACAAAGACGAAATAAATGTCATTTTAAATGATGATAGTAACGATAACGATTATAATAATAATAACGATGACGAAGGTAATAATCAGGATTATGAAAACACTGTGAATGACGATAACGATGACAAAAACGATAACCATCTTAACGATAATGATGTTAATAATGTAAGTAATAATAACAATGACAATAATAACAACGATGATAATAAATTTATTAATGATGACAATTACGATAATTATGATTATGGTAATAATGA